AAATTCAAATAAAAAAAAGTTCATCGAAATTTATTGGGTGACTGTTAAGATACCTTCGATCAAAGTTTTAAAAAAGCTGTGATCTATAATGCAGATCGTCCTTAGGATCCGGGTCGGAAATGATCGATGATTTTACATGACCCGTAAAAAGGGGGTCGCCCTGGCAGATTCAATGCAGACACCGCAGAATATACCAAGAGTAATGTGTCTACTATAACATAGACCGAATAATATGTTCTTAGAAAATACTAAGAACTAAAAGAACACCACCAAAGATGCCTAGAAGAGAAAAAGAATATTAGAGCTATAACATTCAAAGAAATCCAAGAACCATGTTAAATAAAAAAAAAAATTATACTTCTCTAAAAAATAGGAAGAAAAAAAAGAATAATGTACCCATAAGAACACAGATACCAGAATATACCAAGAGTAAAGCATCCACTATAATATAAACTGAATAATATGTTCTTAAAAAATACCAAGAACTAAAAGAACACCACCATAGGTGCCTGGAAGAGAAAAAGAATATTAGAGCTATGACATTCAAAGAAATTTAAGAACCACATTAAATAAAAAAAAAAATCATACTTCCCTTAAAAAATAGAAAGAAAAAAAAGATAATATACCTACAAGAATGTAGACACTCCAGAATATACCAAAGTAATGTGTCTACTATAACATAGACTGAATAATATGTTCTCAGAAAATACTAAGAACTAAAAGAACACTACTATAGGTGCCTGGAAGAGAAAAAGAATATTAGAGCTATAACATTCAAAGAAATCCAAGAACCACATTAAATAAAAAAAAAAATTATACTTCTCTAAAAAATAGGAAGAAAAAAAAAAATAATACGCCCACAAGAATGCAGATGCCAGAATATACCAAGAGTAAAGCGTCCACTATAACATAAACTGAATAATACATTCTTAGAAAATACCAAGAACTAAAAGAACACCACTATAGGTGCCCAGAAGAGAAAAAGAATATTAGAGTTATGATATTCAAAGAAATTCAAGAACTACGTTAAATAAAAAAAAAAACATACTTCCCTTAAAAAATAGGAAGAAAAAAAAGATAATGCACCCACAAGAACGCAGACACCGCAGAATATACCAAGAGTAATTCGTCTACTATAATATAGACCGAATAATACGTTCTTAGAAAATACTAAGAACTAAAAGAACACTATCAAAGGTGCCCGGAAGAGAAAAAGAATATTAGAGCTATAATATTCAAAAAAATCCAAGAACCATGTTAAATAAAAAAAAAAATTATACTTCTCTAAAAAATAGGATGAAAAAAAAGAATAATGTGCCCACAAGAACACAAAAGCCAGAATATACCAAGAGTAAAGTGTCCACTATAATATAATACATTCTCAGAAAATACCAAAAACTAAAAGAACACCACTATAGGTGCCTGGAAGAGAAAAAGAATATTAGAGCTATGACATTCAAAGAAATTCAAGAACCACGTTAAATAAAAAAAAATTATACTTCCCTAAAAAATAAAAAAAAAAAAAAATAATACACCCACAAGAATGCAGACACCCCAGAATATACCAAAAGTAATGCATCCACTATAATATAGACTGAATAATACGTTCTCAGAATATACTAAGAACTAAAAGAGCACCACTATAGGTGCCTGGAAGAGAAAAAGAATATTAGAGTTATGACATTCAAAGAAATTTAAGAACCACATTAAATAAAAAAAAAATCATACTTCCATAAAAATAGGAAGAAAAAAAAGATAATATACCCACAAGAACGCAGACGCCCCAGAATATATATAAAACAATGAAATGAAAACAATATTATTTATTAAACCTTTGCTCAAATTATTTTTTTATATAACTTATTAAACTTTCACTCAAACTACTTACAGAACTTTTGCTCAAATAACTTACTGATCTTTTGCTCAAATTAATTGCCAAAC